GTGGAATGTAGTAGAACCAAGAGGCCAAATAAGGTGGATTGAGGGTGGTCTAAAATTTTATATGTACATGTACATTGTGATAATTGCAACCTACAAGATTAAGAATAAATTTTCTATATAAAAGGTTGCACAAGACTGCACAAGTCAGAATTCAGGACTGTTGTAAAAGCTTGTTGTTTGTACTTCTTCCTGATTATAGTAGCTGCAACTTGAGGAGCACATCAATGATGTCATGTATGTTTCTATGTGCATCTTTTTCTTTACATGTATCTTTATTTTTGACAGCTTTCTACATATTCGCAGCCTTATTTCTAGTATTGATGTGTGCTACAATTAAAAAGAGATGGGGTAAGAGAAAGAGGGTGGTTTATCGCATTACAGAGCTAAGGGATTTCACTGCAAAAACACTCCTGAGATATCACAAGACGTATCCCAAAAAAGACTTAGAGGCAAATGCCATAAATGTATGGACTACATGTATAACACAACAACAGTACACATAGTTACATTAAATAATAAATAGAAATCTACACTTACATGTACAGATACGCACAATCTATCTATTTGATTTTGTGAAAATTATCATTTTAGTAAATTTTACAATGATTTGACATTGCCATTGAGCATGCGTAAAATGGCTCAAATGGTGGTTATTATTTTGACAAATGGCTATCGAAACGCCAAATTTAACTCCCTCTAAGATTTCCTGCAATACGGTATATGAACGTTTATATTACATGACACGAAAATTTCAGTACATATAAAAAAGGCTAAGTAGCTACACCACAGTTACTCTACTTCTGCATAGGTATGGCACTAGTAGGTAATAAATGTTTAGAAGTACACATGTACACATTTGCCAAATGCTTATATGATTGCTATTACATTAAACACATGACAGCCACAAATAAACCAAAATAAATTAAAGCCTTGTGTACAAGACACATTACATGTACATACAAAGTACATGTATACATGTTGTATGTGCCTATAGTTGGGCTACACACATGCGTATAATCTTGTCATGGATTGTGCCCCATTACTTACATGTAATTCATAGGCTCAATGCTTTCATAATAGAGAAAGGATAGAGAAATCAAAAGATGGATAAACATAGAGACAAACATCTAACCAACAAATTATGTGCAAGTGTATAAATAGTATAATCATTGTAATTGGGTGGGGGTTTGTACACCCAGGACAAAGGTGTGCCTTCCGTTCAAACTTATACACCACTTGCAAAGTCTACCTACTTTTAGCAAGATACTCCCAAATTCAAGGTATTGGTAGGTGGGTTTTGTTGTTCTAACATTCTTTTATAAAAGCTGCCTACTGCACAGCTTAGTTTAGAATGAAAAAAGCATGGACATTGGTAAGAACTAAGAACCGTAATAATTATTTTTTAATATTCTATGCTAGGAAGCATGATCTTAGGAATATTCCAAGTTCTCTTTGGAATAACAATGGTATAAAAATAATGTTTATCATATGTACTATTGCTTTACAGTTTCTCTATC